TAAAATATCTGCCCTTTACCGATTTACGAGACGATAAAAGATTAGAAAAATGGATTATTTCACTGTGTATTTTGAGTAAAAGAAACAAATACAGGAAAAATACAAACTTTTCTTCTCAGGGAAACAGAACCAGAATAATAATTTGCAAAAATATACTAATTTTTCAATTTCTTTCTTTCGAGGAAAAGGATTTTTATAAAATGAGGTAATTGAATAGTATCAAAGTATTTATCCTCCAATTTTATTTTAGTGATCCATTGACTAACGTAAGACCAGGGGATTTACTCAATTTTGTTCTGTATAATAACAAAACATAATCCTATTAAAAAGAGAGAAAAAATAGATCATATCATAGTATTACCTTCGAATTAGTCTTCTTCGTCCTTCTTTTCTGGTTTCTTTTGTTTTCTTCGAATTAAATTAATATTTCTTGATATATTCGCTCTTTTGAAGTAACACACAAAGCACAAAAAAAATGAAAAAGAAACATTTTGATTAAATGGAAGGGAAAGAGGGAGAAAAAAACGTGTGGGTAAATATATTGTGACGCGTAAGATGCCACATGTACTATGCTGATTGGTAGATATATTAATGTAATGTTTTAATTTTTCTTTTGTTTTATATGGGCCGTCGAAAATGCTTTGAATAGAATCCAAGCCAATGCTCCATATTTATACATTAATTTAGTTATATGATCGTCTTTTAATCCAAAATATATATAAACATTAATTTAGTTATATGATCTTCTTTTAATCCAATATATATATATATAAACATATAGAATATGCAAATCTTTCTTAAAAGATTGTAACAAATACATTAATTTGACGACAATATAGAAGAATTATTCTTTGAGTAAATAATATAGGAGTGAATGTGTGTGTCAAAAACGCAAGTGAACAACTTTTGTATTTGATTAAATAAAATCGAAGCCGCAACGGATAAGATCCACTCATTTCTCTTCAAGACATGTATGTATTTTATGACTTTTAAAATAAGTACGTAATGCTCTCTTTTTTTTTGTGTGTGTGAAGAAGATAAAGAAAGTCTCAATCATCCGATGTTTTAATGTAGAAGTTGTCAATGATAAAACCTCTCTAGTGATCAATCTCTTATCAATAATACTGGATAATTATCCGGTTCGTGTCTCCGTCCTTACCATTTGTTTCTTTTTTCTATAACCTCTAAATAGGATTTTTTTTCAAAAAACTGTTATATTAAATTAGTTCAAAGAAAAAACGATTTTTCTCATTAAATACTTCATTGTTTTGAGTATCAAACGGAAAAAACAAAAAGTAAACATTGTTCACTCAATCATTAGATAA